CCCCACAAACACGAATCACGTCACCAAAAGTCTTGTAAGCAATGTAACAAGTTCAGGTTCCATTGTTGGTTATATTTATATAAAACTTATTTGTAACACTACTTTTTGTTTCACCTCCTATATGGATAACTAGTGATGCTGCAACTGCACATACACTCGCATTATTTCTATGTGCAACTTTCGAAAACTCAGAGATTTTGAGAGAATCTTTTCTCTCCGTAGAAAAAAATTAAAGCAATTGTTTAAAAAAAATAATTTTTTTTAAATAATAATTTAATTTACAGGAATACGTGAAATATACTATTTTTTTTATGTATATGACCTTTCTGAAAGAGCTGAATTTTTAGAACATATTTTAAGACATCTCTATCTTCAAATTTGTAGTTTTGTAATGTTAACCTTTTTGCAATTTTCGAAAATAGTGTTCGCCGGTATGGAACTGGCTTCACTTTTTAACCATTTTTTGATGCACACGAGAAAATTTAAAGAAAAATATTGGGGCTACATTTCGGAAAGAAATGGGTTTCCTCACACAAATGTAGAGGAAACCTCATTTTCGAAAAATGGTACATGACGTTATTTCAAAATGTCTTTGAATATAGGGCATTAAAGAAAAATTATCTTACATCAATATTGTAGTTGAAGAAAGACGGGAAAAAATGCGAATTTTGAATTATTGAAAAATAGGGCTTTCCCAGAAAATGACTTTTTCTGTGACATTCTTGTGTGCACCCTTTACGCTATTCGAGGACAAAGCGTAATCAAATACTTTGCCGTCATTTGTGCGAAAATTTGGAAAATGTAAATGAGGTCTTATATAAAGTAATCCCTAAAATCAAAATATCCGTTTCAAACTCGCAGGACCTTGAGTTCCTTCAAATAGATCGGCAAATATCCATTTTGGAGAAAATCGTCTGAACGGTATAGGCGCTGGCAACGGACGGACGTTTTGTTGTCTATTGAATTTCGGTATCAAGGACCCACATAATATGGATTCTGACTACACGCGATATTAGTGTAAGTAGTTTACTACACCCAGAAAATATTTTATCCACTTTTTTGTTAGCAGACCTCGACAATAAGAATTTTCTGTGGAAAAATCTGTTGTCGGCGCACGATTACTGTATTTTCTCTTCTTATGAAGTAAGGCGGGAAAATAAAAATTAAAATCATATTGATATTTGTACTGGTATTTTCAACAAGTATTTTTTTCTTATTTTAGGCTCTTCAAAATTCATTTGAACGAGAGCTGATCTGCCGTTACTGTTACCAGACTGAACATTGGGAGCATACATGTGTTTATAAAGCCAATTGTAACTCTGTTGCTTCACCACGTGTGTTTTATAAGCAAGTATTTTTTTCTTACAAGAATTTCGTAATATTATCATCATTCTGGTTAAGGGAGGAATGATGTTTCTTACTCTCTAGTTCTTAGAGTAGTAGTAGTTGTAGATGTTTGAAGTATGCCTGCTGATTCTTGCTCATCTAACTTTGCCCCTTTTGCATGGAGATCTATATAGTTAAGCATTGCCTTATCTTCTTTTAAATGTCCTCTAAAACATTCATTAATCGCTTTTTTGAGTTTCTAATATTTTCATGCTTTTGCCTCCTTTTCATTTATCAATTTTGGGGCACATTTCATTGTTGCCTTTGAGTAATGGAGTTGTCATTGTTCCTCTGAAAGTCTGTAATCTACTATTGTTACAGTAGAAATTTTCATATCCAACCAACTTTTCCCTTTTTTTCTCCCCTCTTAAATTTTGGAATCTTATTTGATTTTATCTCTTGCACGTTCTCTTAGTACTTAAATTAACTAAATATAGTATGTATGTATATTCAGTGTTTGATCTGTAAAATTTTAGGACAAGGAAAGCCTCCGAAAGTAATTATTAATGATATAAATATATATCACACTTAATAATTATTATAGCATACAATAATAATTAATAAAATATTAATTTATAAGGATATTTTATCATTTTTTACTAATATTTTTATTACATTCATTAAAATGATAGAGTTAATTTTTCATATAATTAATTTTGAGTATACAAACTGAAAATTGAAGATGCTTGTTCTCTGCTTTTTGTCCCCCCCCCCCCCCTCCTCTATTTTACTCGCGAGGTACCCGAACATTGTTCACCATGTTCTGCGAGAAAGCAAGCCCGTGTGCATTCCACTATATACGATTCATATTCAGTGTAAATAGTACTAGTATATTATTGTATGTATGTACTCATTTATTTATGTTTTTGTTCCTTTTCTTCTTGTTGCTCTGATTATCTGAACTTTTGTTCTGTACCATCTGTGTTGTGGTCCCTTGAAAGACTTTTATGTGGGGTTATACTGTAATATACTTACTTCTGTGTCCTTTGTGTTCTTATCAATTTTTCTGAGAAATTTGATTTTTGGGTGGTGTTTGATATTCAACCAAGTGATATTTTGTTCATTACTCATGTTGTTTTTAATATTTAAGTACTTTTATAGATATTTATATTACAATATACATTGACCATGCTTTTGGTATTATTTTCTAGAACCAACTGCTCTGTGAAGAGTGAGATCCTGTGTTTAGGCAACAGAACTTTTGAAAAGAAGCTGCCATGTAACTGGACTGGTGGTTATCGTTGGACTACAGCACTTGCACTAAGCATTACACTTGGTGGTTTTGGAGCTGACAGGTATGAAATTTGTATAGAAGATGGATGCTATTTAGGGAGTACATGAAACAGCACGAAGTGAGCTTCAATTTTACTCTAGCTGTTTGACCAACATTACTCAAAATTCAATAATCTACCTGAAAAAGAGTAAATTTGTCACTTTTACTGTGGCCTTTAACATAATTTTGAAATTTTTTTTATAAGATATGAAGGTACGACTGTACTGAAATAATACACTTTAGAAAAAGAGTGAACAAAAATACTTTATTCGAGTGTGTCTGGAAAGTAGCTCATAGCTGTACTGTTTCACGGCAACAAACTTGGTTTTCACAGGATAATTCTGTTGTAAGCGTCATGTAATATATTTTTCTTGACTCCAATGTCACCATCTTTTCACTGTGGAACTGCTGCACACAAAGAATGGAGGAACCATGCGTTATATTAACATTTCATGACTTAGTGTTGCTTAACCTGGTATATTTCTTGTTTGTGAAGACATACCGAATTTTAATTTGTGGTACAAGCCATGCTTTCATGTACCTAAGAAACAAACTACTGTCATCAAGCCACATAGCAAAGTTTCCACATGAAAATATGTAGTTATTTTTTAATACATTCAAAACATGCCCTTGCCAATTGATATTTTATTTGAAACTATTTACATTCATTTTAATTGAAGAAAATATTAAAGAGCTATTTGACGATACTTTCCACTCATTTTGAAAAAAAATGAAAAAGGCATTTTTTCTGAGACATTTCTTACCCCTCTCACATCGTACAAAATTCCCACATTTATTCATATATCTATCTCTTGATTTTAATGGAAGCATGTAAAAAGTTGCAGCTCTTACGACTTCCAGTATATTGGACAGGGCTCCCATTATTTCCTAATTATCTTCCAATTCAAGATCCATTTCATTATTGAAACCTGACATTCTTGTTACAACTGTAGAAAACACAAGAATAACAATCAACAAGCATGTGGCCATGCTAACAGAACAAATGATCAAGTGATAACCACACTACATTTCATGTTAGTGATATTATTTAATTACAGGAAAATGTATAAAAAAGGGTCTTGAGTAAAACATACATCACACGGCAAAAGTCTCTTTTCTTGACTCAATAGGATTCATGCCTAGGGAGGTGAACTTTCCAGTCTCGTCATGGAAAGGTCGACTCTTTTGCATGTGGTGTAAATTACTATTAATGGATATTTCTAGATTTCTTCTAGATCTTTATTTAGAAGACTGAGCTTATTTTCTTGTTTTATCATTATCTCAATGCGGTGCATCTCTTTCAAAATGAAGTTTTCTCAGGAAAGGAATGTTCTGCAAATGCGTTTGGATTATTGGCTTATTTTAAAGTTTGCTTACCTCTTGTGATCTGCAGTTTTTTCAAACTATTAACCATTATATTACACTCTTCTGAATCTGTAAACAAATGATCAGTGTGTTTTGAACTTGGAATACATTTCTTAGAGGGTCATTTACTTATTTCTCAAATTGCAGAACTGTTTAATTCTAACCTAGTCATATTGTGCAAAACTATTTTTTTTGCTTCAAACAGCTAGTTATTAAAATGAAGTGACATTAACAAAATGATACTATTTTTTGCAGGTTTTATCTGGGTCATTGGCAAGAAGGAATCGGAAAGCTTTTTAGCTTTGGTGGCCTGGGAGTTTGGACACTCATTGATGTGATACTCATTGCGTTACATTATCTTGGACCAGCTGATGGATCTCTCTACATTTAGTATTATCTTACATTAAGTTAATTGTTTGTATTGTAATTTATTTGATGTTGAACATATTCAACACTTGTTATTGATTACATAGTAATTATTAAAATATTACTTTTTCTACAATGTTTTTCATTCATATTGATTTATTACCCAATCACATCACTAGACTATGATGTAGGCAGTTTTTTAGACTGATTCATATGTAGTATATCAGATCTTAATCTATAAATCAGAGCGAAATTCCTATGTCCAAAAGATTTCCCAGATTTATTGTGATAGAGCCTCTATTCATATGCACAATTGTACAGATGTTGAACAAAACAACAAATTTTGAGGGCAATTAAAGGACCTTTTTGGTCAAAACGGCCAACAAAATGTCCAAGAGTCTGAAATCATGAAAATAATTATTTTTGGATTTAGCATGATATAAAAAACAAGAAAAAAATTTTGTTAAACTAACAAACAATTGTAATGGACCTATCATTTTCTAAAAGATATCTTATCAGATAAAAAATGACTGTCTCAAATTTTGTAATAAAAATGATCATACTTCTGAATCCTTTCAATAACAAAGGATGAAATTTTGTAGGGATAGAGTGCAAGTATCTAAAAGTATTTTGGTTTTTGAAAATCGAAAAAAGATGATTCTGTATTTTCACAATCCTGTTTTAGTTGGTTATGCCCTCTACGGTCTTGCAGTGGCATTGAAAACTTTTGTTGTGCAATTTTTCTGTCGGTTGACATCAGTAGATAGTGTTAAAAAAAATTAGATGAAACATGTATTCAGTCTTAGTTTGGAACTTTTTAATACAACAATTTCTTTTTTCAATTGTTAAAAAATTGAATTATTTTTGATAC